GAACTTCTCTACAATAGCACTCCATCCTATGTCCAATTTTGAGTGGAGAAGCCGCTTAGATGAGCTTTTGCTGGACTAACATCCTATAAGGCAGTGAACCTTGTGCTCTCTTCATCAAAAACTTCCCTACTATTCACATCTCAACTCTAGTTCACGAGTATAGAAATATACAAAGAGTATTTGATAAAATTCTTGTTGACCATTCTACTGTAGTTTCTTATTGTGCTGTGATGAAACTGCTCGACATTGAAAATGTAAATATTGAAATTCTTTTTGCTGTCCATAATATCCAGCCATTATAAATGAAAAGGCCAGGACAAATTATTAGGAAAACAGCAGTGCAACATTAATCATACCTGCAAGCCAATTTCACCAGCTTCATACGCTTTTAAAAACCATCGAAAAAATGTTTTAAAGCCAACTCCGCTAGCAATAGTAAATTGAGGCAATATTGAAGGAATTTGTTATTTCATGGCAAGTACTTGAGAAAGAGCTTGTGTATTTCCCCTGAGACCCGTTTGCTTTTCTCAAGGCTAAAAGATACGAGAAAAACCGAATGCAAGTTTGCACCAAAAGTAATGGTAATTTCGGTAATGCAAAATTTACGATCATTAGCTATAGTGATACCTGTAAAACCTACATTGTCCGTACTTTAGCTCGTTAAGGCAAAAATGCTGCTTATTGTTTGGCATTTCACGAAACCATGGGCAGTGGTAGAGTGGAAAGGAAAATGAAAGCAGAAAGAAAGGAAAGAAATAGACCAATAGAGATTGGATTCTTACAAGGAATAATACCATACTCAATGAATTCGTTAGATTTTTCTTGACAGAAATGTCCAAGTTTGGTTTTTATAGTAAGCCATAATTGACTGGAAAAAGTTTTCTAATTCAATGTGCACAGCAACACTTCTCTGCTCAGTACTTGTACAAAAAAGGATATTCTAAATGAAATGTGATAACTGAGCAACTGTTTGCCAAAACTCACCTCGAACAGTCAGCTCAATGTCCACATCCAAACTGCCTGCTTTATGCTGCGCAACACAATGATACGTTCCTGCATGTTCCAGTGTAGTGTTATCTATGACCAACTAAAAACACTACAACTAAACTAAGCACACAACTAC